AATAGATAATTTATCTTTTGTATTTATGATTAATAACAAAATATAATATACAAATAAAATTAGGCACCTATAAAAGAAATAAGAACACAATAAATGTTTTAGCGCACCTGATAAATTTATGTTAATCATATTATATTACTATACTTTACACCGGCTATGTTGTCTATATTATATTATGTTAAGTCTATCTCGAATATACTTTTATTGTTTAAATCTACAAAGCTTCAAAACTCCAACAAATTACCAAAGTTAAAATGTTTATCTCTTACAGTTGACATATTTTTAAAAACGCTACAAAATAAATACGTTTTTAAATTTTAAATGTACATTACAAACCAAATTTATTTGGTTAACATATTTCATTATTTCATCAAGTCTTTTAAAACAAGTTCCTATGGTCTATGATTCCAACAAAAATACGTTTTCACGATCTCTTTTTTACTTAATAGAATGATAAGCATATTATGCATGCACATGCACTAGCATGTAAGCAGGATTTTTAATCACAAACATTTAAATTTAAAAAAATTAAATTAAACACCAAGTTCGAATACGATGTAATTTAAATTTGCTTCTAGAGAAGTTTTATGAAGTTTGTCGTTAGTTTATAACACAAACGATTCGATTTTTTAATCAGATCATCTCAGCTTGAAACCAATCTAGTTATGAATGAACCATGAAACCACCAAAGACCAAAACTGCAAATATTTAAACTACACTGAATTAAAAGTTCAAGACTTAATGTATTAATGAACACGGCATTCTTAATATTATAATACCTACTAAAAAAAAGTTTTATAATATTATATTATACTAAATTTATAAAATAAGCATTTATGCATATTCCTTAATTATGGTCAAATAAATCAACAAGAAACATTCACATTATAATATATTCATTATTCATACTTTAATAATTGTATTAAAAACCGTTTAATTTTTACAAATATTTCATTGCGGTATATATAGGTACTACATATTATTTGAATTAAAAAAAAACCAGTTATATACTTATACCTATATACCTACGCTTTTATCGCGTACTGAAATCCAATGATAATATTATATTTTATTCCCATAGCATATATTTAGTATTATTGTATAAAGTGAATATGTATTTAAAATACACATCATAATAATATGATAATGACATTCCGGTTTTTACTTATTTTTTGTTCTCATCGGCGCAGTGTGTTAAATATATTAATGATATAAATTTAACAAATTAAGGCATGGATCACAACATGGTTATACAATTACTGTGTTTTTGGAACGAAATACTAATAAATGTATAATTATAACAATGACATATTATATTATTTAAATATAATTAAGTAGAGCTTTTTTCATTCATATTATAAGATGTTATATAATATATTATGATGTTGCTTCAATCATTTTTCACTATTACATAAGTCTATGCAAAAACAAATTGAATGTTAATACTTATTAATAGACTTTGCTTTACTCGGTGTAGGTATAGGTAGGTACCTAGATTTTACACAGTAATAATATAGGTATTGGTATGGTGGTATTATATTGTTATTAGGCGTGATGTCTAGAAAATAGAAATATTAAGCAGTTCTGCAGGCCTAAAGTAATATTTCCGGCAGTCCCTTATAAAATAAAAAAAATTCTGAAAGTTAATTTAATATTAATTTTAATTCACTGGTCTAGTTATTGCTAGAGTAGCCAAAACGTAAATACGCTTGTGAATACGTTTGTATGTATTATTAAAATGTACCTATTACAATATTGATTCGGTATCATCAAATAGATTAGGTATAACAATCTAGTTGGACGCATTTATCACGTCTTAGTCTTTTCGACTAAAGCACAGAATATAACAGAGGTACATTTTCTGATATTCTTAGACATCGTAGTTTTTGAAAACACAACCATTAGGAAAATATCGGTCAGAACAATAACTGAAAGCATACCGATATGGGTAATTTATAAATTAAAATAACATATATATATCCTCAAGCAAAGAGTCACTTGTGGGTGACTTCTTAATCACTTCTCCCATGTTATTTTTTAAGTCTCTTATCACGTATACCTATTATGCTAAGTACCTGGTATAGATTGTATATTTCTTATAAAAAAAAAAAAACGTTCCTATCTGCTACAGCAGTCCCTGGAATGTAGTGAAAACTTTCATCAGGCGATAATATTTTGTCTTCGTCAGTCATCACCGTCTGAGCGTGTTTATTTCTCGTTAAACAGCTATACGCAATAGTTAGATTTTGTATAGATAGTAACTCAAATTGTCTTGGTTTTTTTGTAATATTCAATACTTTTTCAATACAATTTTTTATCAACATATTATTATTATGAGTTATGGGCCTTATGGCGATTTAAAATAATACACCTTTTATTATCGATTTTATACACGTTGCTTTGACGATCGTTAAATTATTTTATTCGATATGTTGAGTAGACTTATCTTGGTAGGTACTAGGTAGGTTCAATTTACCTTTAAAATGCGTAATACTTTAATACGCGCATAGGTATACGCATACCGTATATTGTAACTTTTCTTATTCGAGAACCGATCAGACTCTGCCCTGCACGTAAACCTACCTAATGTGCTTTTCATCGCGGTCAAGGGCATTGAAAACGATAATAGTCCAAAGAAAATATATGTAAACGGCTACCTACTCTATTTAAATGTTATGATAGTTATTCGACCCGTCATTTCGTCTATTATTTGTATTATATTATTATAATGCGCATATATGACGACGCGAGGACTGTTGTTACATTCATAATTGTGTATCTGTTTGAATGTAAAACGTATAGTGAGGGTACCGGTTTTTCTCTTCTCCCGCTCTGTAATCGGATATACCGTATTATTATAAATTATAATATGAAAAATATTGACATCGCTTAACCCATTGATCCCTTTTAAGTCTACCACAACAATGATGTGTCACTGATGCGCTTGTGTATAATACAATACAAATTATTATCTTAGATCGGTCCCGAACTTAGAGAATAATATATCGCCCGTGAATGACCCGTGATAATATTATCACGATTAATTATTTTATCTATATATTATTATTGTATGTACCTATACAAGACACTAAAAGTATTGTCCTCATCGACTAATCCGTACATGAGTATAATAAGCGTTAACAACGGCAATTACAACTGTCGTCATCGTTGTTGTCGCGGACTTTTGATTATCGACATATTGACAGCGATGAGTTTGTCGGCGATGTCTCATTAACTGTCTGTTTTTGTTGGTTTTTTTATCAGTAATTAAAAAATGTTTTTTTAGCACATCCAGTGCTGTTACAACTATTTTTATATAATTATATTAATATTATCAATGACATGAGCTAAGAAAGGTTAATAATATGATTTGTTATTCTGACACTTTCGAAAATTCTTGTGAGTATGTTATAACGATATGCGTTTTATTTTTATAGCCCAATTATATTAGAAAGATCTCCCCATGCAAACAATATATTATAAGAACTAATCTTACTAGAAACATCTGAATTTGTCCTTTTAACTAATATTTATAGGTATATTCTTTTTTACCAGTAAAACAAATATTAATGAATATAAGATGCGTTTAAGTACTTTTAACTTTTAAGGAAAACAATGAACGAGTTGGTGTTATTGTGTGTTGAAAATATTGTATTAAACGTAATGTGGAGAGGCGCGCCCACTATAAAGATTAATATTATTCTGTTCAACAATAGGTTTTCACACATCACACTGAATATTTTTAAGAAATTGTACTCTCAAATAAAAAATAGTATTAAATCGCTACAATTGTTACAGAAAATCGTGTTCTACTTCTACATTTGATTTACGTTTTTCACTAATAACAATAAGTTTTAAAACAGTATGCAAATCTCTACGTGATGTTTTTTTCTCTTGTGATACTTGAGACTTTTAGAATCATTACAGTTTGACGTTGATTTGATGACAAATGATTAAACCAGTGTTTTTAGCAAAATAATTGCTGATCAAATTTCATTGTTTTTGTTAAAAATTGTCAGCGACGTGATTGAAAACGAGAAACCTATACTATCAATTTGTTTAGTTTAAAATATTGCTCTCTACAAATTGTTGTTCAAGGCCATTCAATTGTAAGAAAATAAAAAACGAAGGGGAAGCGTGATTTTATGAATCATTTAATAAAAATATACATGTGTATTGTGTATACTTATCACATTATATCGTTTAAAACGACGACCATAACTCACCTTTGGAGGCGTCGATATGTGTACCTCCGTCAAAAAATGATTATTAATCGTAGCTATATTACCTATGTAGGTACCGTGAAAATAATCGTCTATAATAAGTTACAACGTTGCCCAATGGATCGAAACACCGATTCGGACGACTCGGACGACGGTTGGACGAACCGCGCTCGCGTATTGTGCGGGAGGTGAAATCTCGTGGTACCTATTACATACAATATTCTACATGTATAATAATATAGCGTCCGTCGTTCGTGACGGTACCGGTTTTCAGTTTTCCATCGAGATCATAGCCTGTTATTAAAAACGATATACGCTAAATAACATATTAAAAAAAAAAAACGGCGTGCGTTTTTGTACGACGATGGGTGTAACCTATTAACCCCTTACCCCGACGTACACGTACACACGCGCACACACACACACACACACACACACACACACACACACAAACTTACACAGTGACTCAGTACTCAGACTCACGCACGCGTTAAGACGTACAGCTTTCGACCACAATATTACTTATATACGATATTATTATATATTTTACCGTTCGCCCACTCATTTCAGTCTCGTCTTATCATCGCGACGTTTCACTTTTCATCGTTACATTGTATATTGTTATCCATCGATAAAGTCTGTTGTTTGTTTTGTTTTTTTGAGGTCGCGACGACGTTCCGTTCGATTTACGTCCTAATATTATATTGCATAATGTCCGCGTGATACTTGAACATAATACAATATTATAGAGTGTACGATGCAACAAACGTTTTCCAGATGTCCCCTTGCGCCGTCAGATACGAATCCATACTGTTAGCCGACCAGAAGTACGAAGACCGTGGGAGACCTGCACCGTCGCCGCAGACGAATCCGACACGGCCGACACGCAGCAGCAGGCTACGACCGCGACCAGAGCATCGCCAAAAGTTGCGGTCTGACTCAGCCGCCGCCACCGACGTGTCAGCGTTGTGCAGACACTTTTTAGCCGCCTACAACATACGACCGGACTTTTTTTGCAAGTTCCAGGGCAGAACGAGCTTGCTACAATGCCGACAATCAGGTACTTATATACAGTCGTCGTGTAATACACATAAAAATATAGTATAATATTAATGATACTTGCACGCGATTTTCTAACGAAATATTATTACGCGTTCGAGGAGTAGTTAAGTAGTTTTATTACACTCTTGTCGATTTTCACATAATATTATTAAACGGCAGTTATGTCGTTTTATGTGCACGTGTGAGGTTGACCCGTCCCCATTTCTATACAACGAATAATATTTGTAAATAACGCATGTCATAAAATATTTTTAAAATAACATATTTTGCCAAAGGTTCCACGGTGGTCGTACCGTTTTTTTACTGTGCTTATTGTACTTCCATGATTAAAATTATGTACAGAACTGGTTTTCAGCAATTAAATAATATGACTCGTGGATTAGGGACTATTATAGTAGGTATCATAATATCATATAGTGAAATATAATTTACTGCCAACGTATTTATATAATGTTCATATTTTATATATCTAAAAAAAAATTTTGAGGTTTCGTTTCTATATTCTACCCAATTAAAAATATTTTCCTAAATATTAAATTTTATTAAATTTTATTAAGTAATATAATTGTATACTATAGAAAACGATATCACTTCAGAAATGTAATTATAATAATTACTATAGAAAATTCAAATAGTTTAGTTTAACATAATGAAAAATGTCCCATCTCAACATCTTATTTAATTGTATCTTATTTTAAGGCTTTGTTGTAGCACTTTTGTAGCACTTGTACATATATTGTACAGAATATACTATAGAATATATATATTATGTACTGTATTAAATTGACTTAGGTATAGCGTTGTCCTTTTATAGTATTGTACTTATAGTCTATGGTATTATCCTACAATGAAAACACTTCACTGTATTAAAGACTAATTATTATTGACCATTGATGATCGAAAAAGTTAAATATATGTTTAAAACATATTTTTAACTGTGCAACTATTGGTATAATATATTAGGTACTTTAATAGATACTACATTACTATGGATTTACTATATTTCAACAATCAACATTAGGTACCTAATTTTTTTTTTGTTTATTTTGAAAAATATCAAGTTAATATAAAGAATAATTTTTTTGAAACCTTATGGTTATTAATTGTTAATATTTTATAAATAATTATAATAAGCATACTTAGCTTTGAAACGCTGAGGGTGCTACAACACCATTGCACCAAGATAGCAAGATAGCTATTCGTAAGCTCACGAATTAGATAAGATCGATTAAAATAGTTCATTAGTAATACTATACACTCTGTTGAATAAATCAAAAATATGATACAATTCATTGGGGTTAATAATTTCCTGAAATATAAATATAATGTTTTTAAAATGTTAGAATATAATAATATTTATTACTCAAGTCGAATTGGTAGTGACGTAGTGCTAATATAATGGCAAGAGTGATCAGAGGGGTAGAGGGTATAATAACCCTCAGTATATCAATGATTATTATCAAATTATTATAAATAATAGGTGTATTTTATATTATATAATAATAATAATTATAACACTGTGTTAGGTACTAGAAACCTGTAGGTTAAAATCATCTCATTTTTGTTGGTAGACAGTATAATAGTGTCCTATGAATATGTATTAAAAATAATATTATAATGAATCTACATTAACTCACTTTTTTAAATCTCCGTGGGAACCCTAACTTGTCAGATTATTTTCTTTGGTTACAAGTTACAATCTTACGATTATGTAATATCAGTTATTAATTAGTTGTTATATTTTAATCCTATTATTTAATTACTTAAAACTTATTAAACAATAATATTCTGAATAATCAATAATTATTTGCATTATTTTACGATGGTTTTTTGGTAAAAGATACCATATTTCAGATACTATGCCTGTATGCATATTATCAAATATTCAAATAATTAAAATATATTTTCCGTTATTTTATTTAAAATATGTCAACAATCATTCGTATTTGTTTAGCAGTATTTATTTTAAAAATAAATTAAATGTTAAAATTGTACAACCTATATTTACTAGTCTTGTTCAATACCTATTGGTGTTAAATTTAGTTAAAAAAAAATAATTTATTAAAGTATGTGATGCACAACTGTTATTATGCATTTAAAAATATTGTCATTGGAGCTTATAAAAAAATAATCTTAAATTGAATAGATAACTAAAAAAAAACGTAATATAAAAATAAAAAATATACAATTATTTACTTTAACTTATTAAAAAGTAAAAACTGAAAAAGTAATCATTTGTATTAATTTATTACTCTTGATATTATATAAAAGGACATAGCATCAACAGGTACCTAGTTATGTTTTTTGTCCCTTCAATGATAGTTTAGAAAAAGTATTGCTCCTTATTTCCATCTCTGTGAAACGATTTATAAGAATAATACGACGGTATACTATAAAACGTCAGCTTTATCGATATTGTAATTTAAATAAATTTAATATTAAAGAATATACAAATATAATTTCTTATAACTAGCTTTTATTAAATATAAAACATCAATCATGGTCAATGGGTCATTAATTTCATTTTCATTTTCATTTTCATTATTCCTATATTTCCCGATGGACGATGGAGATACTGAAACAGTGAAACTATGGATGTAAACATGTATAGTATTCTGCATAAGTTCAATTTATTCTATAGCAAAAGTATAGGAAAATAATATACTAAACATACAAATAAGTAATTATAGTTATAAGTAGCATCTATAATAACAATAATTACAGATTTATAGCCTACAATTATTGCTGTATATTGCCAGATTGGTTTCATACACACAAAATACAAATAATGTTCCATTTAAAATATAGTCCAATTAAAATATCACTTTGAAAATGTATTTATGTTTTCTAATTTTAATGAATTATGTACTTGAAAAAAATTGAATACATATAACACGCATAACAGAAGCTAATACATGGAAATCCGTCAACTAAAACTAGTGATTATTTATGAAAATATTCAGTTTAGTTTCTTAATTTGTCTTTTTTCAATATACCTAAGACCTAACTAATCATAAGCAACTACTAAAACAACTCCACCTATAATATTTTTTTAATGAGCGATGTAAATATGGGTTTTAATAAGATAATTCACCCTACATGTGCCTCACCAAAAACAGTGATATACATCGTATTCAATTTTAGTATTTATAAGGACGGGCGATTCGCCAAGCTTAGGTAAATTTATTTCTTCAATAATGTAGTTTTCAAAATCTGATTTTCGGAATTTTTAAATATACCTACTCATAGAGACCATAATTTTGAATTCTTCAGATTTGTTGTTTTACTTAAAAAATGTACTGTGGAGATACAAACTTTTGTTTTTCAAATGATGAGAACCCTCCTCCCTTTTTACTGTAAATAATATAGAGAATACATTTTCTGAGTATATTAACACATCTAGATAAAACTCCAACTAGTAGTTTTTGAGTTATCTATTTAACTTTGTGTACTAAAAATAATGATCTATGATAATGTGTCTTAGAAGACATGGGGCTACGGTTATTTGAACATTTAAGTGATTAATACTAATCTATCAACATTAATAATTTGTAAAAATGGTCCAAGTATAATAAATATTAAAACCAATATTACATAAATTATATGTATTTTTACATATACCATTTTGAAGGATAATAACCGAAAAACGACTCATTTGAATTATTAATTAGATAAATAAGTAAACATTTTCAAAAAAAAATATCCATTAAGCAATTTACAGTAAAAAAAGGTGATTTCTCGTTGGAAAACTGATGATTGTTTTACCACAGGACACTCCTTGGATAGTACGAAACAAATTCAACAATTTTAAAATATGGTATTTGAATATAGGTTATATACTTTAATAATGCAAATATCAGAATTTAAATAAATTCATTACTAAAGAGAAAAATAGGGGTGAGCTTGTTTGGTGAATCACTCTATATATTTTATCGAAAAGATTATTATACCAATTATTTTATTAATAATAATAATAATAATAATATTTATTGTTACCAAATTAAAATTAAATGTACAAAACATGTTATAAGCATAAATTTATTAGTCTTTGGCTCTCTTTTCAAAAGCAAAGTTTGTGCAGAAAATAGAGAGTAAGCGATACAAAGTCTTAAGTGATTAAGAAAATGAAAAAAAAACAAAAAAAGAGAAATAATAATAACAATATAACAATATTTATAAGGATAATAACAACTAATGTTAAAACATATTAATAGCGGAAGCACAGATTAGGTAGACCCATTCGGTGCCTTAGCCATTCGTTATTGAAATTAACTAGAATATAGACATATAGTAGCGTTTAATTTTATATAATGACAATGATAATATGAAAGTTATACTTTTAGTATTAAATAGAGAAAAAGAAAATAATTACAGAAAGAAGTATATAATCAATAAGAAAAATTAATATGCAGTAAATAGGTTACAAAAGGGATTATTGCAACAAAACATTATTTTTATATTTTTTATACATTTTAAAGCTTTTAAAATCATGTATATTAAAATTATATTTAATACAAAGTGTTATGAACTTATATTTAGGGCTCTGATGCCCAAATACTGTATTAATTTTACTATTTTAGGGACAATAACATTAGTATTAACCTTAAAGCGCGTATTATAATTGTGACACGGAACATCAATGCAAGTTTTAAAACTGTAAAATAATAGGCAAATGTTTTTTGTGTATAATGTTTTTAAATTGAATATCTCTAACTCTTTATATAAATTAATTATAGACAATAGTGCAGGTTTATTGAAAATAAATTTGAGTAATGAGTTTAAAGTGATTCCAAGGTTCTGATAGTGAATATGATATGTTCCTCCCCAAAATTAAATCCCATAAGAAATAATAGATTGAATTAGTGCAAGGTATATCAATTTGTTTAATTAGACGTTTAAAATAGATCTAAGAGATTTATATATGAAGAAAAATTTTCTTAACATATTATTAATATAATTTATGTGTACATCCCATTTTAGATAAGCATCAATATATAACCCTAGGTATTTAATAAAGCTTACTCTATCTAATTCTCTACATTTAC